CTGCAACCCTCAGTTTGTTTTGTGAGATTAAGAGTCACTTATGGTTTGTCTCCCTCCCAATCCCAACTTGTTTCATTTACTCTTCTCCTACCCCATTAACCCCCCATGTTGCATCTCCTCTCCCTCATATCAGTGAGATCATATGATAGTTGTCTTTCTCTGATTGACTTATTTCGCTAAGCATGATACCCTCTAGTTCCATCCACGTTGTCGCAAATGGCAAGATTTCATTTCTTTTGATGGCTGCATAGTATTCCATTGTGTATATATACCACATCTTCTTTATCCGTTCGTCTGTTGATGGACATCAAGGTTCTTTCCATAGTTTGGCTATTGTAGACATTGCTGCTGTAAACATTCGGGTGCACGTGCCCCTTCTGATCACTACGTTTGTATCTTTAGGGTAAATACCCAGCAGTGCAATTGCTGGGTCATAGGGTAGTTCTATTTTCAACATTTTGAGGAACCTCCATGCTGTTTTCCAGAGTGGTTGCACCAGCTTGCATTCCCACCAACAGTGTAGGAGGGTTCTAAACTGGGGAATTTTTGTCTTTAAAAAATGAATCCACATTGGCTCTCCTGGTTCCTGCTGCTTTAGCACAGCCTCCTCTCTTTGCTAAACTAAATATATATTATCGAATTTTACAAAGAATAAGATACAAAATGCCCCAACTTCACTGGAACTCGCCCTACTGCAAACATGGAATTAGCAACTCTCCAAGAAGCTCTGGTTATTTTAAGCAGTAATTAGTATTAGAGACCAAAATCTCAATGCTTGCATGTACGTTATCTTATTTCTCGTGAGCACTAGAGATGGAACAGAGTTAACCCAGGAACTTTGGCTGCTTCGAAGACAAAATAGAGAAAAAAAATATTTGGTTTTTTTTAGAGGTAATGAATTCATGCTGTTGATTTCTGTTTACATTGATCTCTACTAAATATCTTTACCATGCTCTGGCATGGTAAGTCATTAATACAATTATCCACTGTGTTTTTGTTTCAAGCTACCAGGTTTCTCTTTATTATTTTAATGTTGCCCTTCAATCTTTTTTACTATCTTTTTTTTTTTATCAAGCATCATGAAAGAGCCTCCAAACTTTGCAATCCAAACATTCCCTCTCCACAAGCATTCCTCAAGCATCAGCTGCCTGAAAAAGAAAAAGGCCTCTCAAGTGCTCCAGAGAAGCACTTAAAAAAATACAGATGCATAGGCAGGTCCAGCTAATTTGCAGGACTCGATGCAGAATAAAAATGTAGGTGCCCTGATTCAAAAATGATGTGGAATTATAAGACAGCCACAGTTAAACACTATACCAAGCATAGGGCCCTTTTGAGCAAGGGATTCCCTATGACTCACAGGTGGCTTGTTCTTGAAGCCAGCCCTGGGCATAGGACCTCCAGGACCTCAACGTCTACACGTTTAGTAGACACCATCATGGAAGGGAAAATACCTGCAAATATGTTTTTGAATTGTGATCTAAAATTCTCCTTTAACTCTTAATGTCCATGGGCTCTAGTGTCCACCGTCGTTTAACTCAGGCAGCTTTAATGTGGAGCTTCAATTCCTTAAACAACCTTAGATTTAGTCTGAGATGTGGGAGGTATTCATTTTGCCCAGTGGACACTGGATGAAGGCATGGCCCCTGGTGACCTGACCCTGCATTCAGCAGAGGAGACGTGCCACTTCCACCCATAGAAAGCTTCTACCTGCCCACTCACAGGCCATGGTGAGATTATTCCTGCGAAGGATTCTCCTGAGGAGAGAGATCAGGGGAATTGGACCCCCCTTCATCAGTCTTGGGGCAGGCTCTGCAGCTTGCACTTTCTCTAAGTCTGTGGGCTCCCCCTCTGCTGTCCTGTCCCAGCTTCCTCTCCTAGTCACTCCTTGCCTACCGGGAAGCAAAGGGTGAAGAGGCTCCTTCAGGCCTCCTCTGGCTTCCCTCCATCCACCACCCAACCTTCCCCAGTCTCTTCCAGCCTGGTGAGGTCCTTCAGCAGCTACATGTCTTGTCTCAAAACCAAACTCTAAGGTGGAGTGCTCGAGGGATCCCGCTCTCCCACTGTATCATCCTGTCACTCGAGGTCCGCACTGGAGCCTATGGTAATACCTAGACCAAAACCCCAAACCTGGGCTCTCCAGCTCCTTTTAGGGATTTTCATGTGGTCCCTTCCCACAGATCTAACACTTCGGGCTCTGCCTCAGGCCACCAAGCCCTCCTTCAGCAGCCTGATGCCCCCATCTCAAACCTACCCATGGTGGAAGAAAGTGCTTTCCTACCAACCCAAGTCTGGGTTTCTGCTAGATGACAATGGACAAATATACACCTAATCCAAAGTTAAATTAAATTCCCTATTTGATTAGCCAACAGGTCAAATCATTGTGCAAATAAGGTGACCGCAGAGTGGTGCAAGATGCTGTGTGTCTCAGCTTAGGCTCTTTTGGCTTTATAAGCCCTTTTCAGCTACCCCCACAAGTTAACTAACTTTATCCGAGAAGCTTAATTCTTGCTATGACACCACCCTATTATACTTGGAGATTTCCATCAACACACAAGAATTTGCCAGCCTGTGCAGGAATGTGAACACGTATCCTGCTCTCTTGGTTCTGGAGACAAACTTGGAACCATCTGCGACTGTGGGAAAACAGGAAGTTTAGGGCTCCATGTCCCTGAGCAGTATTTCTGCCTCCAGAACCAATGTCCAGGAATGCCCCTTTATCTATGTTTTCTCCATTTTCCATACATATATTTCATATGTATGTGACTATGTATGAATACATATTATTGGTTCTCTTGTTTTCAAGTGTAACACCTCTCTTGCATATCAACAACTAAGAAATGTGTTTACATGTGTGTATGTATATGCATCATATATATACACTGCATCTGATAGATACACCTCTTGAAGATGTACATATACCTTTTAAATATTTTGCACAGCATAGCCTCTATTTCTTTCAATTTGCCCCTTTCCATTTCTCTGTTTGGGTCTATTGTTCAGCTTATAGGATTTCCTTAGTGCCAGTAATCCTTGGATGTCTGTTCATACAAGAGAGTAAGTTCTAAAAACCCAATCGAAAGTTATGAGTGAATGGTAGGACTCACCAACCATGAGTTTCACTGTAGGGTAGTCCTACTGCTCTTTTTAACTGAGAAGACTTCAATTTCAGTGCCTTTAAGTCTTTCCTCTTATCTGGCCAGATTCCCCAGAGGAAGCTCTTCCATATCCTGCCTGGCTGCCAGCATTTGGAGAGCAAAGTAGGAGAAAACGACTGAAAATGAGAGCTCATTTATTCTTCTTGTTTTCAGTTAGGGAAGCCCAAGATGCAGTGGGATCTGGAGGCCCCCCAGGGCACAC